TGAATAATAGTCTTTATTTAAATCTGAGTTGCAAAGTATAGCTATGAGTGTCCTCAGTAAAAATATACTTTCAGTTGGAAGAAAAGGCTTAACTCACGTCTTCAAATGTGATTTTTTTTAAAGAAAACATGATTTTAGCAAATTTGCATCAACTCTCTTCTGTCTCCTGCACACATATACTCTTAAAATAATAAGTATAGTAATAGGTATATGGATTTCATTGTTTTAAAGTTAATGAATGAAATTTATGCCATGGAGAGAATTATGGTTTAATGAAAAGGATAGGGTCTTTAGAGCCAGGAAGCCCTCGATCCCATTCCTGATTGAGCATGTGCACATTTGCTGTGTGACCTGGACAAGTTTCTTAGTGACCCCTCCTGCTTGGTCTGGGTATCTGTAAAATGGCAGTGACATCTGCTTCACAGAATAAGATGACAGAACCCACTTCTAGCATCTGGCAAAGAATAGTCATTGAATGAATGTTAGGATTTTTCCCTTTCCCCAAGAAAAGTAAACATTAACTAGTGTCCTGGTTAATTATGGGCCCAGGGATTTTCCCATTTGCAGCTTCAAAAGAGGAAGGCCAGCCAAGAAAAATCCTGACCTAGTAAAGAAAATGTCAAGTGAGTGCTTGATTTCTTCAAATAAACAAGAATTTCTCTATCCCGAATCCACATGCTTTTTAAAATTTTTATTTTTATTTTTTAAAGATTTTATTTATTTATTTGACAGAGACACAGCGAGAGAGGGAACACAAGCAGGGGGAGCGGCAGGCAGAGGGAGAAGCAGGCTTCCCGCTGAGCAGGGAGCCTGATGCGGGGCTTGATCCTAGGACCCTGGGATCATGACCTGAGCCGAAGGCAGACGCTTAATGACTGAGCCACCCAGGTGCCCCTAAAATTTTTTTTTTTTTAAGATTTTATTTTTTTAAGTCATCTCTGCACCCAATATGGAGCTCGAACTTACGACCTCGAGATTGAGTCGTGAGCTCCATTGACTGAGCTGGCCCGGTGCCTCTCTACATGCTTTTTCAAACTCTGGTGATCAAGATCAAAAGGACAAAGTTATTTTTTCTTTTTTGGAATTTCAGTTGTAGACTCTCTTTCTTTGAGTTTTATGGGATAGTGGTGCTAGAGATCAGATTCTTTAATAGAAATAAGGTATTTTTTTTTTTGTGGTGGGCTTGGAAACAACACAGCGTGCAGAAGGAAACATGGAGGTATGATTGCTTAGTTCAGATGTCTTGTCAGTACTTGGCCTTTTTAAAAAATAGCTTTGTTGAGCTATAATTCAGATACTCTACAGTTGACCTGTTTTAAATGTACAGTTCAGTGGTTTTCAGTACATTCAGAGTTGCGCAACCGTTCCCACATCTAGTACATTTTTATTAACCCCCAAAGAAACCCCACGTCCTTAGTCATCAGCCTCCGGTCCCCTTGCCCTCCTGCAGCCCCTGGAAATCACTAATCTATCTTCTGTCTCTATGGACTTGCCCCCTGTGGACATTTCATATAAATAGGATCATACAATCTGTGGTCCTTGGTGACTGGCTTCTTTCTGTGCTTTACCTGTTAATGCTTTGTTTGGAGAGCAGTGGAGTCTGCCACACGTGCTCTGCTACGGGTTTTGTTACCTCCCAATAGTCTGCAGGTAATGTGAGATCGTGAACTTCAAGTGGCTTTTCAACTTAGAGCAAAAAGAAAGTGTGACCGTTTTCAGGGAATTTTGTTACGGGTATTTTGATGCCCTGTTTAAACATGATGCTGCTCAAGATTTTTTTAAAATGCTTTTAATAATATAATCCAAGCTCCACCTATTCAAAAAATATAATTTGATGAGTTTTGCCTGATTTATATATCCATGAAATGATCACCAGCATCAGGATAAGGTATATTAGCTGCCCTCTCCAAAAGTTTCCTTGTATCCTTAGTAATCCATCTTTTATTTTCCCCTATCAGATCCCTGGGGCTCTTACTTGTTTTTTGAAAAAAAATATGTATTAAATGAGAGACTACTTAGGAGTCAGTGGTGAGAGGCAGTCTGTGTGAAGGCTGGCTGGGTGACCTTGTGTATGTGCCGTCACTGTTTGTTTTCCTCTGTAAATGGATATAGTTAATAGGAGCTACCTGCAGTTATGGGAGGTACCAGATTAAACATTATTTAATTCCTTCCCTCTCTCTGCCTTCAGTGTTGAAAAGGTTACCACATAACATTTGTTATTATTCAGTAACCCTAACTCTACCAACTTTGAGAACCGATTTGAAAAATTTACACTTGTTCATCCAACAAGTTTTATTGAGCACGTGGTATGTTCATCACTGCCCCGTGCATTGGGCCCACTGTGGCTGATTCCAAGTTGAGTAAGACATGAGACACATCCTGTGTACATTCAGCCAGGGTTTGGACAGAATATCCACGGATGGTGTGTGAACAAAGTGGCATGGAGGTTGAGCAGTTGGAGTGACTGTCCCTGTCTGTGGGGACTCCGTGTTGGCCCTGTGAAGGGTACGTAGTTAGATGACGGCCTCTAAGGGATTAGAGAGAAGGCATTTTAACCTGAGAAGTGGGATCACTGTTGTGCAGGGCTCTCAAGAAGCCCCCATGTAGGTGGGACCCATTCTGCCGGAGTTGGGTGAAACAGTTGGAAGGGAAAATGAGGGAGTCCACCGACAGGCTTCCTACTGGACTGAGGAGGTGAGTCGGGTTTTGTCAATCAGTAGAGTCTGTAAAGATGTTCCAGTAAGGGACAGAGTTACACTGTAAGTAGACTGTTTTTGAGGTGGCTCTTGTGTATGGCTTGAGTTTGACGGTAACGTAGTTGAGCATCAAGGAAGACTTGAACGTGTCTGGACAGTCTTCAGGATCTTAACTAGATTAGTGACGATGAGAAAGGACACAGGTAAAAACGTCGAGTCGGTGCCTGAGTGGTTGTCGGGGCTGTGGTTTCTTCCCCATCTAGAATACTTACGGAGTGCTTACAGCGTGCTAGCTGCTCCTAATATGGTCCCCACAATAGTGAAGTGTCGGTATAATGTACCCATTTTTCAGATGAGGAAATTAAGGCGTAGAGTGGCTAAGACGCATCCTTGTCGTGCTCCGCCTCTGCTGTTCCTGCTCTTCCCCCGTCGCGGCCCTTCTCCCACTCACACCGTCTGCGACCTCTCGGCTGTCCACCAGCATCTCCCCACGATCCCTCTCTGGCCGCTCTCACTGCCGTCTCCTTTGTTCAGTCTCATTGGTCACCGCAGCTGTTGTGACACATTCCAGGTCGTCATTTGCACTCTAAAAGTGTTTTCTCTAAACCTAAATTGGGACAAGTCTTTTTTTTTTTTTTAATTCATTTATTAGCATGTGTATGTGGACACACACGAGATGGGGGGAGGGGTAGATGGAGAGACTCTCACGCAGACTCCCCGCTGAATGCAGAGCCCGAGGTGGGGCCCCCTCCCACGACCCTGACATCATGACCTGAGCCGAAATCAAGAGTCGGACGCTTAACCGACTGAGCCACCCAGGCCCTGCTCCCCCCCTTTTTAAGATGCTTCCTGTCCCTGGTGGACTGTGGCATTCAAGGCTCTGTGTTCTGATCCTTTATAGATCGTCCCCTGCCCCCAAACGCCACGTTCCTGCTTGGCTCTGTGCCTCTGCTTGGGCGTTTTGTCCACCTGAAACGACCTCCTTCCTTTCCTCTGCATCATGAACTTCTCACCCGCCCCTCAGCGGCTCACACAGCTTACCCACTGCGTCCGTGATGCCTTGGGCAGCTGGCTCTTCCTTCCTCCTCACTGGCTGTGGCCTGTCTTGTATTTTCCTTGATTAGCCAATACCAGACTCTTCTCAAAAGTGATGTGTGGCAACTTACAAAAATAGATATAGGAGTAAAACATCAGACTGATGAACACAGAAGAGCACGCGGACTCTTAGGGTAGAGAAGTAAAGGCGGGATTAAAGGTAGTGTAGGAACGTGTGACGTCGCAAGCGCGGAAGGAGCCTTACCCCCCCTGCCTGGTCTTAGCACAGAGGGAAGCGTAAAATGGTAAGAGTCTTCCCAGTGGCAGTCAAATGCATAAAGCCAGTTGCTCTGGAGAAGAGCTTTTCCTGTTACTGAGGCTTGAGAGAAATGTTTCTGGGGTGGGTGGAAAGGAGGTTGGAGGTGTAGCCAAGTCTTAAACACATCCCTCCAGCACGTGGACGGCCAGGTTCACGGAGCGTCTTCCTGTAGGAGGCCTCGATACAGCGGTCGAACGTAACGCCAAAGCACCATTCAGACAACAGTTTTCTACAAGCCGGGACGATGACCCCAAAACAGAGCCGCTTCTTGTTCTCGCTTCGAAGGAGAAAATGTAGAATAACTAAAGGAATTAATCCTTCTGTTTTTATATCTGTTCACCCCCCCCCCCAAAGCAATCACCTTCCCACAGGCAGGGACCACATTCCTCTGTGGCTTGCTCGGTGGCGGGAAGCCTTAAGGGTGAGGAATGGGGAGAGCCCTCTGTGCTGGGGGAGGCGGTTGCTGGGGTATCAGCACCACGCTCCCCTTTGAGCTGTGTGTGCTCAGAAAGATTCGTATCTGAGTTGCAAGATCTGCCAAGAAATGGCTGTAAGTTCTCTTGACTGTCCGGGGGCTGACCTGCTTCTGAGACCGTTTTCGCAGCAGATGCACCGGCCAAGTGAAGGGGCGATGGCAGAGTGACTGCGGCTAGGCTGGTTCTGCTTCCAGAAGAGAGCTTTTCAAAAGGTTAATCTATTCAGCAGTGCTCCAAGGGGCCAATTTAATTTTCCCCTTGTCTCCTGCATTTGGGACTAAGACCTTACACTGTCATGATTCTAGAGTAGGATTCAGAAGTATGCATTTTTAAGCGAAAAGCAAAAATAGCACATTTATTGAATGAGGTCAGTTCTCCCCAAATAGCCCTTTCTCTCTCTAATTTATATCAAAATATGTTCTGACATACCTCCTCCCCCTCAACGGTTGCTTTTCTCTCTCTTTCTCTGCACAGGAACTTGATAAAGAGCTCCCAGTGCTGAAGCCGTATTTTATCGATGACCCTGAGGAGGCTGGAGTGAGGGAGGCTGGCCTGAGGGTCACGTGGCTGGGACACGCCACCGTGATGGTGGAAATGGACGAGCTCATCTTCCTCACCGACCCCATCTTCAGCTCTCGCGCTTCACCGTCGCAACACATGGGTCCAAAGCGGTTCCGTCGTGCCCCCTGCACCGTCAGCCAACTGCCCCCAATAGACGCTGTCCTCATCAGCCACAACCACTATGACCACCTGGACTACAATTCCGTCATCGCTCTGAATGAGCGATTCGGTCAGGAGTTGAGATGGTTCGTGCCTCTGGGTCTCCTCGACTGGATGCAAAAGTGTGGCTGCGAGAACGTGATCGAGCTGGACTGGTGGGAGGAGAATTGTGTCCCTGGACACGATAAGGTCACCTTTGTCTTTACCCCTTCCCAGCACTGGTGTAAAAGGACGCTCATGGATGACAACAAGGTTCTGTGGGGCAGCTGGTCTGTCTTGGGGCCCTGGAGTCGTTTTTTTTTCGCAGGAGACACTGGCTATTGCCCGGCTTTCAAGGAGATAGGAAAAAGGTTTGGACCTTTTGACCTTGCAGCTATTCCCATCGGAGCGTATGAACCGAGGTGTGTAGACTTCCCGAGAGGGCAGCCCTGTTCTGTAATAAGTGGCCTGAACTCTAAAGGAGTTACGAGTTTGTGATCATTTGGGGTTATCATTTGTGGTTTGAATGGTGGGCTTTTGTTATTGGTGGTGGTTAGGCAGATTCAGTTACGTTTCTTGTAAAGTATTTCAGTCCGTCATATCCATTAAATAATGACCCAGAATCGGAGATTCTGTCACCAGGACAGCTGGGCCAAGGTTTAAAGAATTGCTACAACCTAGTTACAAGTTCAGGTACCGTTCTGACTCGGGTTAAACCGATCAGCCAGTAAGTGAAGCTGAGCTAGCTCTTGTTCTTCACGTGGAGGACACTCGATAACCACCTTGTGCTCCGTGTCCGGCGAGGCCCCGTCCCCAGGCCTGTAGCTCTCCTGCGTTGGGCAGAGAAAAAGCAAGGAATCCTAGCAGTGCGTCCCTTGCACCGGTCTCATGTCACTCAGCACTAATGGCCCCGTTGTACACTCCTCACCCACAGTTGAGCTGCTGCAAGGTCACACTGGCACTGGAGACCCACAGCCCTGCCTGTGCTTTCCTTCATCTCGTCTGTCTAAGGGAAAGAGGTGATTTCAGAGAATTCAGTTCAATTTCAGCTAACGCTGGGTGACAGGTACAAGTTAAGAGAAAATAAGCACTAATAGTAAAAAACATGTTTTCTTTCCTAAAGTACGTGCACAGATGGAGAATTGTATGGAGGCTGGCATTTAATTTCAGCATTCCTACTAGCAGGAAAAACACTAACTCAAAAATGAGCAAATCTGATCATGAGTTTCCATCTGATTTTGTTATATTTGACTTTTAAAGTTCGCTAAAACCATTTTTTTTTTTAAAGATTTTATTTATTTATTTGACAGAGAAAGCGAGAGAAGGAATACAAGCACGGGGAGTGGGAGAGGGAGAAGCAGGCTTCCCGCTGAGCAGGGAGCCCGATGCGGGGCTCGATCCCAGGACCCTGGGATCATGACCTAAGCCGAAGGCAGACACTTAACGACTGAGCCACCCAGGCGCCCCGCTAAAACCGTTTCTTCACTGTCTTTATTAATCTTTATTTCGCCCTCTTTTTTTTCCCTCTAGTTTCTTTTTTTTTTTTTTAAAGATTTTATTTATTTATTCATGAAAGACAGAGAGAGAGAGAGGCAGAGGGAGAAGCAGGCTCCCAAGGAGCAGGGAGCCCGACGCGGGACTCGATCCCAGGACCCTGGGATCATGACCTGAGCCGAAGGCAGACACTTAACCATCTGAGCCACCCAGGCGCCCCTCCCCCTAGTTTCTTTAAGGGGCTATATACTTCTACCTTATTTTTAAAAATTATTATCAATCACTAGTCTTTGAACTTCACTTTTTCACTTAGTTCTAATGAAATCTCTCAAAAAACATCAACCTGTTTACAAATCAATTTCATACAGTATTGATCTTTAATCAGTGTATTCTTAATATATTAGAATACCTTATTTGTAATTATGAAAATTTTTCCTGTGTCACAACATATAAAGATCCTGTATATGTGATGGCATAATGTGTACGGATTAACTACACAAATTCCCTCACGGAATTCCCCCTTCCTGCTTGCATTGCAGCTGTCTTGTTACTAAGCTGGGAGAAGGCCAGGAGCATAATATTTGCTCTGAGAGAATTAGATTGTGGTAGCCTCTACTGTGTAATCCATCTCTCTGGTCAGTACTAACAGTTTTAGAAATAAGCTTATCAAGAAAACCTCAGAGTACTCCATAAATGTACAATGATTACACCCAAACAGCTTTCAATAGTATCCCTGTGGGGCTCTCCTGTCACCAGATATTCTATCCAGGCTGATTAGGAAGTTTTGTTTATTCATGTTCTTTTCTTTTTTAAGTAAGCTCTATACCCAACATGGGGCTTGAACTCACAACCCCAGGGTAAAGAGTTGCATGCTTTTCTGACTGAGCCAACCAAGCGCCTCAGGATGTTAAATTTTTATTGTAACTTTCACCCAAAATAAAAATTTTATATTTCAGATAGACATAAAGGTGGAAAAGAATATGTCCATCCCTTTGATTGGCTGTAGGAGTTTAAAAAAAAAAAATCAGTAGAAACACCAAAAACTATTTGCTGAGTGTCAGGAGACAGGACAGAACAGTGCTTCTCTAATCCGCTGTTGAGTTGAACACAGTGGCTTTGTCTCTAGGCTCCCCGAGGGCCCGGCAGCTCCTAACAGTAAATAACAACCCTTTAGCTGTTGGAGATGGACTTCTCTGTGGTGTGCTCTGTAAAACGCAGAAGCACCTGTGTTAAGTCCAGGTCCACGAGTCTTGGCTGCAGCAGAGCTGGGAGTAGCAGACCTGAGCTCCACACTCCCAGCGTTGGGTAGAGTTGGGGTCCACACGCAGGCCCCCGCCTCCTGACCCCTGCTCTTGCATAGGCATCGGGCAGCCTTGGACTGTTTCCACGCTCTCTCCCCATAGTCCCCCTCAGGTACCCTCCCTCTTCTTGCTAAATCCTACACCTCACTGTTCATTTGTATGGTGTTTAAATAAAATCCTTGAATAGCAATTTTTTTTTTTTGGCTTCCAGTCTTTAAATATCCTACACTAATTTTTGTTTGCTTTTTGCTTTAGCAAATTAAAAAAAAATGGTTTCAGCAAGTTGTTCAAGTTCTCTTGAATCGTGCTTTTTGGCTTCTATTCTTGACCCATTAGTTTCTTTGATTCATACCAGGATTGCAAAGTATCTACTTTTTAAAGTAAAAGTAAGACATACCTTCAGAATAAATGGTCAGTAAAATCAAATGCTTGTGAAACAACTTCTTGCCTTGCAAAGGGGAGCTTTGCTTGAGACTTAGCTATTGTGTAGCAGTTTGTGTAAGATTTTTGCTTATTTTGTATTCCAGCAGAAAAGTGGACTCAAAAGAGATGGTTTTGCCTGTTGTACTCCCGTGCAGAACCTTTAAAGGTTGATTAAATGAAGCAGTAATTAGAATTTAGTGTGTATTTCAAAGGCCAGAATTAATAAATTGCTGTTTTATCAGGTGGTTTATGAAATACCAACATGTAGACCCAGAAGAAGCTGTAAGGATTCACATTGATGTTCAGACAAAGAAATCTGTGGCAATTCACTGGGGAACTTTTGCCTTAGCAAATGAGGTGAGTTTGATTGTGATAAACATCACTTTGGTTATGTGCTTGACCTAAGAGGATTCTAGCATCAGCACCCCCTGCAGTGTGCTCAGAGGCCGGACTGGAATCAGACCCGCACAGCCCTCATATGCATTAAGGGGATCGATCACATTAATTAGTAAAACAGTATTTATATACGGTGGGGAAAAAACCTCATTACATGCTGTGCTTTTGGCTTATTTCTGTAAATGAAGCATGCATTTATAGAACCAAATGTGTATAGTCTTGGAAAATAGAAAAAATGAACCATCGTGTCTTCCCTCTCAAGGGGGCTTTTTTTCTATAGAAGATGTGTACGGGGTGTACGTAACTCTAAAACAGGTGTGGGAAGAAGTACTTCACTGTGGGACAAAGTGGTCTCACGAGTCATGGACTGTTACTGATTTGGAGGGATCAGGGAGGGAGGGCTTCCTGGAGGAGGGGACATCTGAAGTTCCCTGTGAGAATGCATTTCAAGAGGAGGAAGGGGGCAGAGCATAGGATTGGAGGCAGCAAGCGAAAGGGGAATGGTGAGGAATTAGTTCAGCCAGAGTATGGCTGTGACATGGAGGGCCATGGGGGACGTGAGGCTGGACAGCTGGGAACTTTTTAGGACTATGTTATTCATCCAGTAAACAGTGATTGAGTGTTGTGTGCCAGGTGTTGGGATAAATGGTGGTTTTATTCCTAAACTAACACAGAAGAGCTGATTGTTTTCCCGTAAGGTAGATGAATCTAGAACTCTTATCAGCCAGGGTTCTGGGATCAAGCAGAGGGATAGCAAAAAAAAAAATTTCTCCTTTCCTGGATCCAGGGCCTACCCTAAGCAAAATTTAGAAATGGATGCTTGAACTTGGTATCTTCTGCTTTGCTTTGTGTGGCCTCTTCCACATCGCAGGGCCATGCTGCAGGCACCCTGTGTTTTCAGGCTGTTCTAGGCACTGCCTTTGTGCTGTTCCTGGCCTGCCCCCTCCCTCCAGCCCCCGTCTGAATTCCCAGCCCAGAATCACGCTGGGGGTGGGGGGCGAGTGAATGAATGACCCTGGGGCCTGGGAGAGTGAATGAGAACAGGAGGACATGTGTGGATGTGAAGAGGAGCCGGGGTCCTGGCTTCCTGTGGCATACTGTGCCATTCGGTGGCCATCTCTTACTCCATATATGTATCCCGTGTGTGTATTCCCCATACATAGATCTAGATACGTGTCTATGTTCCATGTGCGATCTACACCGAGACTTAGATGAAGTCCTGCTATTTTATTAAACCTGTTCAAAGAGAAAAATCAAGGATGACTCCTAGATTTTCAACTTAAGTAATTGGGAAGATGGTCATGCTCTTTACTGAGATGGGGAAGATGAGCGGATAGAAACCTCCATCTTCAAGAGTTACTGTGTTGTTCAGCTTCCCAAGAATTCTTCCTGTTATAAATCTAACCTCCACCTTTATTTCTTAATGAAACCTATAACAACTCAATAAGTCTTAGCAATTTAGAATGTGTTCACACTTTGACATTAGATGCAGAAACCGGACAACTATGAGTTTGTTAAATTATAGAGATGACAGAATTTTTGGATATTTACCCTATGAGTAAACACTTTAAAATGATTTGCACAAGAGTAGTTATAATAGCTACTTACTATAATAGAAGCAGACTGAGGATGTCCTTAACTTGGCAACACTTAAATCAGATGTTGCTATATGTACAATTTTTATCTCAGGAATTATGAATTTCCTACATGGTGTATTTAAGCACTAAAACTTAAAAGCCCACTAGTTTTGGTGGAAACCAATTTCAGGCCTCACATAAGATAGGTTACCTTTTTAAAAGACTAGGGTCTTTATTTTGAATATCTCCTGTTGGAGTAGATCGTAAAACAGTGACCCTTTAAAAGGGAACCGAGGAGTTGCTGGGCTGGTTGCCCAGCTCTTAATGGAGCCAGAGTGCTGGGCACTTCCTCTGTCCCTTCACTCTTACCTCTAATCTGCTGTCTCGCTGGATTCATACTTGCTCTGTGGCCGTGGGGCATTTTTACCTCCCTTGTGGGACTAAAGTGTTTGCACAATGAGACTACTACCAGTCTCACAGAAGGCTTTCTTGCGTTCTTCTAGGGTAAACCTCTCAATGGCCGAAACAGCCAACAGTTGACCTATGAAGAAACTCAGAGAGATAATGCAACGTTGAAATCCACACTAAGATTAGAGCCTATTGCTAAAGTGATGAGCAAAGAAACAATTAGCGTAGGGTGATTGTGTGTGTTGTTAGCCAAGATTTGTAAGCACTGGGGGGTGTGTGTGGGAAAGGGGGTGAGACTTGACAAGTTATTTTTCAGTGGGGAAGAATTTCATCATTTTCGAATCTCTTATACTAACGTAACTTTGCAAGGGAACTATTTTGACGTAGGCTGTTAAAGTTACACTTTATTGGGGATATTTTAGCAATTTCCTGTATGATCCAGAAGCCAGCGAGGGAAGGGAAAGCATCTGTGTGGCCAGTGCCTGTTAGCCAACCTGTATGTCTTACACCTATTGGGCATATCACCGGCTGTCCCTTTGTGGTCACCACCACTAGTCCCCACCCCCTGCTCCTTGAGGAGGGAGTGCCCTCTGACCCCGTCTATGGGCCTCTTCTCTAGTGGGTCACTCCCTTAGTTGGGGGTCTCTTCAGTCTTGCGGCCAGCAGCCCACCCTTCACTCCCACGTCTCCCCCATAATCCATGTTGATGTATCCAGCTGCCTGCTTGACATCTCCACTTGGATGTCCGTTACGTACCAAAGACTTGAGTTCTGATCTTCCCTCAAACTTCTTTTACATCTCAGAAAATGGTGCTAGTTACTCAGGTCAAAACCTGGACTTTTCTCTCTCCTGTCCCCCATCCTGTTTTCTCCACACGCAGTCAGCTCAAACTTTAGAATATGTAAGTAATCTCACCCCCCAACATGGGGCTTGAACGCACGACCCCAAGATCAAGAGGGTCGCATGCTCTACTAACCGAGTCAGCCAGGTGCAGCCCCTGAATATTTCACATTGGACTACTTTTCTCTACTTGGACTGTTTCCACTCTGTCCCTTCCCGTCTGTTCCCAACACCCTCAAGGACAATGACCTTTGTGCCTTGACCCCAGTCAGCAGCTTCCCTCCTGCTCGTCTCCCTGCAACTGCCTCCCAAGCCTGGTGCCGCCCTCTGCCAGGTCTTGGGTCAAACGCTGCCTTCTCATAGAGGGTCTCTTAGCCTGTGGTATTTAAAATTAAACCTCCATCCACCACACTTGTCACCCCTCCCTTTTTCTCCCCACACCGTGTTCACCACTCTGATAACATCACCCATTTTTTATCATTCCCGTGTGGTCTATGAGTAGAACGTAAGCTGGCCGCTCCGGATAGGCGCCCCGAAGTCCATTGTTGCCTGACAGGTAGAGGCAGACCTGTTGCTGTCGATGGGATGAGAGGTGGATTTTTATTCCTATTTTATATGTCTCCATTTTACAGCTTTTCTAATTGAAGTTGAGAAAAGAAGAACCTCTGAATAAAGGGCAAAAAAACAGGAACCAAAGGGCAGTGAGGAAGTTCTACCTGTTTTAGCTCTGTTCTCTGGGTCCTCCTCATACTCTGGAGACGCCAGTGTCGCTACTTGGCCGGCAGTTTGGGGGTAGCAGCCTTCTCTGAGCCAGAACTCTCTTCTCCAGCGTTCGCTTACACATACACACTCTGATTCTAACCTAAGCTTCTGTGTTCTTCCAAGATCTTGGTAACATCTCATTCTGTAATACTGTCTTTGGTATTGATTCCATTTGGATTGGACTTTCATGTAGTGAAACAGTGGTCGGATTTCATGCAGCCTCGTGATGTTTAGTCTGAGTTGCCATCACATTTGACATTCATGATATTCGGAGAGGTTAAGTGTGGTTTTTCTGTTGGCTTCCTTAATGACTGCATTAGAAGCTGTGACTGACTCATTTGCTGATGTTTGAATGAAAAGGACGTTATTTTAAGTTGGTCTATGTTGGTGGTTTCAACTCTTACTTGAAATACCCCCCACATATATGCACGGTTAATCCTTTTCCATTTCTTCCCCTGTCTGCCCCTTTGCCAGCATTACTTGGAGCCCCCAGTGAAGCTGAGTGAGGCTCTAGGAAGATACGGACTTAAGACGGAAGATTTTTTTGTCTTGAAGCATGGAGAATCCAGATACCTCAATACTGATGATGAAAACTCTGAATAAATGTGAGCACAGGAGCTGTTAGTGACAAAGGTATCCTCTAAGCTAGGGAAGACTAAGAAACTCATGAATATGAGGATTTTTTACATTTGGAAACAATTTCGACAAGTTAGTGTCTTGTTTTGCGTGATAACTTGCTACTCCGCCTACCAGGTCATACAGAGAAACAAGAGTTCGGAGGTGGGTCATTTACATAATGAATTGGCAAAGGGGAATTAAAATCCTGTCTCAATGGTAGAAGTATTGCAATGGCTTTTTTTTTTTTTTTTTACATTTTTTAGTGGTAGAATTTGGAGGTTATGAAAACTGATTTTAAGGTCTCATTTCTGTTCTGGTTAAGGGCCTCCTACAAGGTGAGTCTGTCTAGCAAGATAGATTCAGAGGCCGCACATATAAACCTGTTTCTTATATTCACATGAGAGGATGTGATGACACTGACACCCACATGCTTAGAGCAGCTCTCCTTGCTCCCTCAGGATTAGCTTATATGCCACATGTTAAGTGATTTATTTTTTTAAGCACAGAAACATAGGAGGTTGGGCGAAGTTCCCATTTTTAAAGACTTAATTTTTTAAAAGAGGAAGAGTATTTTCTGTTTCACGCCTACAGTCCCGAATCAGAAGCGGAGCTGGACAGGGGCAGGGAAAGGGGGTGGTTATGAGGACATGATTGGTGACATTTTCTATTTTTAATCTAAAAGTCAGACCTGCTAAGCACAAAGATAGCTGCCAGGAAATATTTTACAAAGATAAATGCAGATCTTAAATAATTCTCTGTATTCCATTTTCTCTCCATCTACTCATTTTCCCTCCTCATTTCTTAGCTCCAACCATGAATATATCAATAAGGTCTATAAATATGTTTTACAGGATTCAGATGGCTTATATTTTTATATTAGATGACCTCTAAGCACGATTCTGCTTTGAGTAAGCTAGTGTGGAATACCAGCAGCTAAAAAAGAAATGATTTTTGGGAATTAGCTGACCTGAGTTCAGTCCTGTAAGGGCTCTGTGGTCACTTGACTGCTCTGAACCTTTCATCAGAGCCGATCGGATACATCAGAGGCCCAGCCTGTCTTCCCGCTCCCCAGTCTCGGTGAAGTAAACTTTATTCACACAGAATAATCACAATAGGTTTTCTACACCAGATGCTGCCCTAGTGGTAATCTATCTATTTGCACATACATATATATGCACGCCACCTGTTAGCCACTTAATCTCAGTTTTAATCCCGCTTCCACCACAGATTTTGTGTGTATCTGCCACAAGTCACCTATGCTCACTGTGCCTCAGTCTCCTCATGTGGAACAAGAGGACATTTTTGACCTACCTCCAAAAAATGTGATTTTTTTTTTTTTAAAGCACTTTGAGACTCTAAGGGAGAACATTATTTCTTAAGACCTCACTGCCTGATATAGATCGGTAGATCTGAAAGCTGAAAACAGGCTCATGGCTGCTTTTGATAGTGTCTTGTTCTTGCTGCAGATTCAAGCATATATATTTAGGACATGAACCCTGAGGACTGACAACTTTATCTCCTTTTGTAAATCTGGAGGGTAAGAGCCAAAATAAATGTCAATGATCTTTATCTTACAGCGATGCAAATCAGTCCAGGGGAAATGTGAATATAATGTATGTGAATGTGATTTGGGGCACTTAAGCACAATTTCCCCATAAAATAACCTTCAGGAAAAAACCAACGGAACAACCCTAAACCTTTTCACTCCAAAGGAACATTCTGGCAAGCAGGTGGGAATGGAGCTGGTAGGTTGATGGTGGAAGAGCTTGGGGGGGGGGGGGGGGGGCTGGTGCCCTAACGCTCACCTGTGTGGTCGCCTTCCTTGCTGTTGCATGCCGCGTTGAGCATTCACCTCTTACCTCTGCTCTGTGAAGCAGACCAAGTTCGTCTTACTTTCGTCTTCTCCATGAATGGCCTTAACACGATTTCTGCATTCACATATACCGTGTCACTGCGGGTCTCTGAGCACTTTATGTTCTAGTTCCGCTTAATTGGGCCTGCCATGTTTTTCTAGGCCTGCTCTCTAGCTTTAATTTTTATTACCCTTTACCTTCTTTCTATGCTGACATTTTGTTCGCGAAGAACTGCATGGAGCTTCATCTCTCCTCGTAGAATCGCGCTCGATTTGCGTGGCTTCCATGTTTTCACTTAGCTACATTTTTGAAGGGTTTACGTACAAAAGCAACACCGAATTTTGAAAAATAAGTCAAATCCACTCTCTTGCCTCCATTCAGTCTAAGTATGGCGTAATGCCTTTCACTTGGTCTTCTCTGATCAGTTTCGTTTTGCTCTTTTGATTAGCCAGCAGCCATTGGAACCTGTGAGATTTTACTGACAAGTCCCTTTCTCCTGTGGTAAAGATGTTCCTCCTTGCCCAGAGCCGGGGGAGGGGATCACTCACTGTGGGAAATCTCACCCAGTAAAAACCAAGATGTGCCCTGACCAACAGAGATGAAGATCTATTTTGCACTTTCACTTTGTAATTTTTTTAAGGTAGTTAAAAAGGACTCCCCCTTTTTCTCTAGCATTTTGACATTTCAAACTCAACGCTCTGATTTCCAGGAAATGGGATTAGCTATTCAAACTAAAAACAGAGGAAGAGAAGAGAGATGGGGTTTTATAATCCAATGCTGCTGAAGCCCATCAAAGCCAAATCCTACTTTCTAATTCTGTGCCCATTTTGACTATGTATTTTCATTAAATAAGGAGGCAGATTAAAAAATTCGTTAATAAGAAGTGTGCCTTTCAGGGAATTAGGACTTTTGTCAGCGATGCAAACCTATAGCCAGCATTTACCCATCAATGCTGTAGCCAGCTGGGAACGTCCTTGGTTTCACCTGAATACTGAATCCTTTTTCTACTGTAAAAATATTTCTTGCAAGTTTGATTTCTGTATCAGGCTAACCCTACCTGTTTGAGGATTTGTGACTTCCTGTGGAAATCCATGTATTTACAAATGAAATTTAACGTACTTGTACAGCTTTGCCTTAAATACCTGGAGCAGGAACGCTGCTGCTTGCATACTGATATATACCTAGTACTGAGCATGGTGATGGTGAGGAACTGGAATAAGACCTGGCTGAAATGAAATCTATTAATAGTATTTTTATTCCATAAGCTATTGTGACACTATAATGACTAAAATTTACAATGTATGAAAATCTCAGCTAAGTAAAATATGGATGAAAATTAATGAATAAAGTACTATCAAGAGAAAATGTGTATAACCTTGTTTTTTCCTTTTTATTTAAAAAAATTATAAAATTTACACTGATGGTTAAAAAATTCAAATGCTAGAAGAAGGTATACATAGAAAAGTCCTTTCCTCAGTCCCACTCCCGGGAATCTGGGTATGGTTCTAGAAACTATTCTCTCGATAGAAGCATAGTTTTCATTTAGAAAACACATCCACATTTTCTGGATGCCTTTCCACATGAGCATGTTCAGATTTCCTTGTTTCTTTTAAGATGAGATAAACAGATTAACCAGTTGCTTACGGATGGACATTCCGATCGATCCCGGCCCGCCACACACTGCATCTTCACAGGCTGGCACCCCCGGTGGGGCTGGGGAGGACGGGGATTGGACCTCTGGGAGCACTATGGCTGGCCTGGCCGGTGGCCTCGAAGACTCAGGAACTCTTCACTAGCACAGGGACAAGGTCGCTCCTGCAGCAGCCCTGAACCAACTAGCCAGTCACACACAAATGTTGTCTCCGACGGGTGCAAGGCTAGCTCACACATAAAGAAGGCAACTGTCCTGCCACGTCGAGGAAGTAATTGAAGTAAACTCAGCAAATGGCAAAATGAAAAGAAATGGGGTCAGAACAAGCTCTTCCATTCATTTGATATCAGGAAAGTGGTTCAAAATAAACCGGAAGACCGTGGCAGGGTCTAGCTGTGTTAATGATGAAATGTGATATTCACTGTTTAGATTCAGCAGCTGGACGAATTTCAGCTCCCTTAGTAAGAGGGAAGATGAAAACCGGGACCAGTCAGAACTTGGGTAGGACTGTTACCTTTTCCTTCACATCCGCATCACGGTGTGCAGCTAAAGCTCTCATTTTCTGGGCACATTCTTCTCCATATAACAGGAAAAACAGGGAACCTTTAGGGAAAGTAGGCTGAATAGCTAAACCGCCTTCTTTTTCGAGGCAGTTATTTATATTCTGAGAGAGTGTAAGAACTCGAAGGAGAATCTCCTTTGCCACATGGCCATCATAAAGGGAAAGAAATGAGGAGTCCACCTGAAAGAGGAAACCGTGTTATTTTAATAATTTATGAAAACATTTTTCATGTATATTTTCACATTTTAAAACTATATTGATTAAAAAAAAAAACAAACCTGGTCATAGAAAATTATCCCTAAAATCGCCTAACATCAATGTAAAACCTTATGCACCCTTATACTTTATACTAATGGAAAAAAGGTTTCACTGTTTTAGCTGAAAAGTACTATTTTTTTTGGAGTCCTAGAAGGTAGTCATTGGGAACAACTCCCATGTCCTTTTTAAGGTCCATCATCCAGTCTTCCTGGGGGCTCCTCAATTCCCCAGACACAGCCTGCCCACTGTACCCTGCGGGGCTGGGGTGCAGGGAGGAGCGGGTCCCTCCCTTACAGGAGTGGAGGCCCATTTGGTGTCCACACCACCTTTGCTTCCTTCAGAACACTTAGCTCTTAATTCCTGTGTTCGTTTGTTTTTGTCCTCATAAGCTGCACGAGTGTGCTCACTGGTGTGTCCTTGGCCCTCGGCTCGGCGCGTGGCGCGTCCTGGGGATTAGTGTTTCAGCACCCGTGAAGAGACATGCGAACACAACCATGTCAAGGGGAAGAGATGCGGTCACATAAGTGCTCCAAAATGGACAGACAGAACAATTATGATTTATGGTGGTTAGGGAGGACCCTTCCAAAATGAGTTTTTCAAAGTAAAATTGGTTCATTACAGAAAATTTATCAAATTCATGTAGGCAAAAAACAAAAAAACCCCTGTGCTCCTCACAGATAATCTCTGTAAACACTTTGGGATAAATCTTCCTAGATCTGTCCAAATCTATATATATTTGTATACCTATAAAACAAACATGTCAGCTACTTACTTGGGCACCAAGTAGTCCGTCTGCCATGGCTGGATTTTCAGACAAATTCACAAGCAGTTTCAAAACTTGAACCTGAAAGAAGAATCCTACTGGTTTATTTCAGACCAGCGAGCATGGATTTGCTCTCCTCCGCACACCATCCTCTCACTGCGTCCACGTTTTAAAGTTTGGCCCGGGCTTCACCGCTGGGCTCCAGTTCTCTACCCCACGGAGTCCTCTACTCTACCACACTCCCGGAGCACTTCTCACACAGCAGAGTTATAGAAACCGTATTTTTCCATGTTAGGGAGAAGATGGTGACTGTCTCACTGTCTACCCGCCTCGCCGCCTAACTCAGGGTAATAGGCTTAACGTTATGTTACATAAATGATCTTTATTACCGTTACCAGTAAGTGAAATATGATCTTTGGAACAAAAAAAGGAATCTCTCCAAGCCTGGTTTATTTCTATTTAAGGTATGAAGATCTTGGAACAGTTTGGTTACCAAGACTAGATAAACATATGGTCCTTTTCTTTTTAGTAGGTTACTATGAACCTTTGAGTTTTTTATGTGAAAAATTTTGTAAATCCTTTAAATAGGCAGTAATAATCAGCAAACAAATGTTAACTTAGAGCTGACGAGCTAAACTATCAAAATTCCTATCACGTAACTGGTCAGTACTGTAAGTCCCCCCCTTATCGTTCCGAGGGGATACATTCCAAGACCCCCAACAGGCCTAAAATCACGGATAACAGCGAACCCTATATATACTATGTTTTTTCCCATACATACATACCTATGCTAAAATTTATAATTATTCACAGTAAGATTAACAACAATAATAAAACAGAACAATTACAGTAATCTGTAGTAAGTTATATGAAAGCGGTCTCTCAAAATACCTTTCCAATTTTAGTATATATGCTGCTGAAGGGAGCACGCTCTGAAAATATCTTATTGTTCTGTGCTCTCCCTTCTTGGGAGATGATAAAATGCCTGTGACAAGGTGAAGGGAGGTGAAGGACAGGTGGTGTGACGCCGTGTTGGGCTGCCCCAAGCCGCTGACGGTAAGCCAGAAGGATCATCTGCGTCCCAACTGTGGCTGACAGCAGGTGACAAACCGTGGAAAGTGCAACCACGGACTGGGGGGTGGGGGTGGGTAACTACTGTAATAATGACATTCAAATAGAATTCCTGTTTCAAGACACAGGTCATACAAAGCTATACTTTATACAAGAGACTTGAAGTTACACCAAGTGAGGAGCGGGGAGGGACAAATGTGCTCTCTACTAGACCTGGAAGGGAACCCAGATCTTTATTTTAGAAAACCTTTTTTTATGAAAAAGGCATTGTGTGTTTCCTGTAAAACATTTTTATTATTTATCTATTTTTAAGTAGCCCCAACGTGGGCTTGAACTCACGACCCTGAGATCAAGACCTGAGCTGGGATCAAGAGTTGGATACTTAACCAAATGAGCCGCCCAGGCGCCTCTCCCTATAGAACATTTTTAAAAAAAGTGATTAGCACAAAGGAGAAGGAAATTCACTCTTACTTCCGTGACCAAAACCAATCACTTAATATTAAGTTTTGTTATTTTCTTTCTGGTTTTTTTACACACCTATATACTCACATATTCCTTTGATCATGTTGTACATACTAACTTGTTAAGCAGGATAAAAGGCTTTGCTTAATTAATCAACTATTTAAAAAAAGTTTTATGAAATTAATACATGGTCATGATAAATTTCAAACCATGCAGAGGGGAACCAGGGTGAAAACAAAAGCCACCATCCTATCTGCCCATCCCACCCCCTCCCCCCCAGCAGAAACCCCTGGTAACAGTTTGTTTAGGCAGAGATCATGTTTTTCAAACAGATATTCTTTAGGATTAGAGCCTCTTAAGGTAAGAGAGGAAAGACAACTTCTAAACGTTTGTGCGGATCTGGTCTGGCCTGACTGGCCGCCAGCAAAAAGAATAGGTGTTAGGAATAAACACTTGTCTCCAATGTCAGTGAAGTCTGGATTAAGAAAACAGACAAGAGTTCTGAAACAGGAAGGTCCGAAACCTAGGACAGAAGTCTGGATGAAGTCAAAATCCACAAGGCCCCCTCGTGGCCCACGCGGGCAGGTTTATAACCAGGGAACCGTCATTATTCATAATAATTCAGTTAGGAGCCTGAATTAAAATTCCATGTTGCTATGCTCCGGAAGGGAGTGAAACATGGGAAAATAATTTACAGAGCACAACTGCAGGTATCTCCTGCTTTTTGAACGTCTGTGTTATGCCACCTCCCTTTTATAAAAGATCTACGTTATTGGTACCTGTTTCGATGAACCAAAAGAAATCCAAACAGGATTTTCATTTTTACAAAAAAAGAAAAAAGAAAGAAAAGAAAACAGCATTGGGTGTCTGTTTGCAGCGAGCGTTGGGGGGGGGGCAACACCCCCCCAGAAGTACACTCAGCATGTCAGCATCAAGCAGCCAGATCTTTGAACTGTGTCTGTGAACATCTGCGCTTATCTTGATTTACTTGGTGCATCTGTTTGCAAGATATGTTCCAAGCTATCAGAAAAGTCTGAGAGAGGTTTTTTTTTGGGGGGGGGGTGGGGGGGTTCTGGGAACGCTCAAAAATGTGTCCATATAAATTAATGGTAAGTGCTGCTGTGCTTCACGCCATTTTGGCTTAGGAAAGGTTTCATGGGAACGCCCTAGATCCGGGTAGCGGGGGACAGCTGTGTAGTATTTTGGTTTGAACCATGTTAAGTCCTCTCTCTTATCACATGTGCCGTCTCATGGTGACTCCATGACATTTATTTTAAGCCATTAGTTTTCTTTGCTCTCATTGCAGTTTTATTAACACAAGAATTATTGATGTTAATCTTCCATTATTTATATTTGGTTACGAATCAGTGTTGCGCCCAAAAGGTTGTTATAGTACACTGAGATCTCTTATTAAAAATAAGATTTTTCTTTTTTTTTTTTAAAGATTTTTTTTATTTATTTGACAGAGAGACACAGCGAGAGAGGGAACATAAGCAGGGGGAGTGGGAGAGGGAGAAGCAGGCTTCCCACTGAACAGGGAGCTGGATGTGGGGCTTGATCCCAGGACCCTGGGATCATGACCTGAGCCGAAGGCAGAT